CCCATGTCTTGTAAAGGCGGCATTCGTTCTCAGCCTCCGGATGCTGATGGTCGGGACGGTTGTGTCAGGGGCACCTGGGAAAGTTCCTGCCCTTCTCTCATAGTGCTCCCGCCCATTGCCTCTTGGGGACCATGAGCAGGGCAGGTGGGAGCCTTCAACTGGCCATTTCCTTCCACAAGGAAACATCCTACTCATGTCTCAGAGCATTTCAAGCCCAGTGTGCTGCAGTCAAGCTGGGATCCTCCCCAGGTCTGCTGCGTTGCTGGTGTTCCCATCTCCTCCAGGGGCACCGTCATGCAGTCGGACAAACCACGGCCTGGAAGCCAACCTTGCCGCCTCCCTCGCAGTCATGTTCCGGGCCCAGCACCAAGTTCTGTCTTACTGCCTGGGTCTCTCTTGAACCAGCATCTTTCTCCCCATATTTTCCATTGCCTGGTCTAACTAAGCTCTTATCCTCTCCCTCCCAACTGGCCGCCCACCTCCGATCGCCTCCTAACATAATTAACTCAAGATGTGAATCTGTTTGCACCCCTCCCTTCTTTAACATCCCTCAGTGACTTCCCATGGCTTTCAGGACAGAAAGCAAAATTCTTAGCCCGGTTGGTCGGTCCATAAAGCCCTGCCTGCCCCTGACCTGTGACCCCGGTTGCCTGCCTTGACTCCGTGCTCTGCTTGGCCTTCGGACCCAGCCTCACTGCATTGTCCTCTCCGGGTCCCTCGGCCTTTGCATGCAGGCTTTGCCAGTGCGAGCCCTTGCACTTGCTCTGTCCTCTTACTGGAATATTCCCCCTCCGTGCTCTCTTGGCCTGGTCAGCAGCCTCTCTGTCTCGGCTTACCCGGCCCCGTGCGGAGGAGCTCTACTGACACTCTGACCAAGTCAAGTACCAACAGTCCCCCGTTCGTTCGTGCCAGGCCCCTCCCCTTCCTAGCACTTATCACCGCTTTCATCTTTCATTTTTGTGGATGATCACTGCATGGCTCTTCCTGGCACCTAATAGAGGTTCAAAAGATCCCTGTAAAATACTGACTGTGCGCGCACTCCCCTCAGACGCTCTCTCCTAGAACTGCCTTCACCTGACCCAGCTGGCCGCACAGACATTTACCTTTACCAACGATTATGCCAGTTCTTACAATCCTTACATTGACATCCAAGCGTACTTAGCTTTTCATTTCCTTTACACGTCTGATGGCTCTCCCTCAGGAGGCCCATGTGGAACCTCTAGGGTGGGGCTTGGGGGAGGTGAGTGTAATGGAAAAAAAGCCTGTGTGTGTGTGTG